TTCTCCTCTTCTTTTTTTTTTAATTTCACACTCAACATCAACTTCGTATATTATTATTTTTATCCCAATTTTTTTAAATTATTACTCTATTATTATTCCTCTTATCATTATTTATTAGTATTATTGTTTTATCATTAGTGTCATTCTTACATCTATGTATATATATATGTATATATATATATATACACACACATGTGTTCATGTGTGTATACACATAATTTAATTTCACTCGAGCTCTGTTATCAAGAATTTAATCATCGTTACTTTTATATCGTATTACATTAATAGCGTTTCTCTTTCTTCGATTTTTCTCTTTTTTTTCTTTTTTCTTTCTTTTTAATATGGATTTTTCTTCGCTTTTATTATACAGATTGTCATGGTCGGCATCGCATTGCCGTCAATTTTTTTTCAGCCTGTTATTCTTACTTTTATAAATCTTATCGCCTTTCATTTTTTTTTTTTTTTTCCCTATTTCCTTTCCATTCGACATTAAATTTCGACACTAAATAAATAACCATGGCTGAGAGATTTTACTTTCAATATCATTCGCTTTATTTATTCTTCTCGTTTTTAGTCTACAATATGAAATTTGTGCAGTTTCTCTTACGTTAAATTAAATTTCTCAATCGATCAAATATCTTTTCTTCGTTTCCTTTTTTATATTTGTTCACGATCAATATGAATATCCATTCGATTCTTTTATTTTTTAAATTACTTTTCCCTTTGATCAATATCTATCGATTCTATAATTATGTTAACAACCGGTTGTTCGAAACATAGATTTTCATAGGAAGAACAATATTGAAGATCTTTAAAAAATGATCGTCTATGAGATCCATCGTCGATGGATCTTGGCACGATCATTCGATCCTCCTTCACACGATGTTTCAATGGAATAATAACTCTTGGATTGGAGATATTTCTTTTTACTTTTGATCGATCACCCTTATTCATCGGAGAACTAGTAATTAGAGTTCTACTTTTCTCAGGTACGTATTGTTCCTTCCATTTTAATAAGGATGAAGAGAGGTAAAAAGGATTGTTGAATTAACACACTATGCACGATATTTTTTTTAGAGGCCACAGTCGAAACTCTCCTGGTTTTGCACTTTTTCCTTGTAATCTTCCAAGTAACTATCGACGTTCCTGAAGATGCCAGAGTTTGCTTGATACATCAACGTTTCGAGAATTCTCTCGTTTTTGATTGCTTTTGATGGCAGAACGATCTGAAAGATATACGTAAGGAAATCAGTTCTGTTATATTATTTTATTTCCCTTAAATTCTAATTTTAATTCCTTTTCGAGCTCTAAGATTTTTCAAAAAGAAATCAAATTCTTTTCTTTCATTGTCACAGAATTGTAACAGAATTCAATATTATTTCTAATTTACTTGTATTAAAAATTATAAAAAAATATATTTGAAGCTCACCCTAATAAGTTCCTGTGGTGTTATCCTATGCAGTTTCAAATCTCTACTGAGTCTGTCCATGATACGTTTGAATTCCACTTTCGGATCGACTTTGGTCGACTTTCTGTCTTTAATCCTGTTCTTCGCCCACTCGAGCATCGCCTCGAATTTTCTAATCTCGCCGACCTCGAGACCTCGGCACATGATCATTTGAACCATCGACTCGCTCAGTGTCAAGAAATCAGGTGACTGGAACAGTTGATACGCTCTGGTTTCGATGAAAGCGAGGATCATGTTTACCAATTCTGAGGCGGACGTGTAACGCCAGCAATAATTCTCCAACGCGCTCAGCATCACGCATACGATCTCGATTCGTAAGAATTGTTTTGCATGGTGGAAACACGCTTGTAGAAGCTCGGGTAGATCGTAGTGTTCCGCTGCACAGATGAGACCCGGTATGTTGCTGCAAGTCAGTGGACAGGAGCCAGTTTGCAGATAATTGAGCAGGATTTTGAACGTCTTTGGATCGAACTCGATGATGTCGAACTGTATGAATGAGAAAAATTTATAACATATAAAATGTTATTCTATATATATAAAAAGTGTTGGAAATAGTTTGAAATAATTGAAATAAAATTATTTGGTAATTTATATATTCGTATAGAGTTGTAAAATTACAAAATTAAAATAATGAATTTGTAAGATGTGTTGAAAAATTATTGAATAACATTTATATAAATCGAAATTTCATTTATGATTTGTTATAATATAAAATGTATACGAACATAATTTTGCATAATGTTTTACAGATATTTTATCTATTTTATTATATGTTTGTGTATAGTTATCAATGGCGAAAGCTGAATCATTATTTTTTTTGTACATTATTATTTATAAAATTCTTGGAAAAGAAGTATCAGAATAGTTAGGACGTTTCCAAGAATTTCTCTATTCATTATTATATCATTTTATTTGCATATTTTTATATGATCTTTGTTTTTTTATTTTTTATGCATATTTTATATATATTTTTATATTTTTCTTATAGTTGATGAATTTATAACAATTTATAAAAAGGTAAATATGTACAAGGTAAGTACAAAATAGATAAATATATCAAAAAAGTATTAAATAAAAAGTAAGTATTAAATTCACTTTTTTCTTATCAAAAGATTATCGAACTAATTATGTTCAACACATTTTAAATTTGGAATTTCATAAAAGCAAGGAATAGGCGATTTTTAAGGGATTTACTCTTAAATTTTTTTATGTTTCCATCATTTGCACAATTTTCAAGATAAAAAATTTGCTTGCTCGATAAAACGATCGAGATTTAAGTAATTATAATTTGCATCAAGAGATTCGATCATTATGCATTATAATTTCGAGAATTTTATACCATATAATATTTTATCAATTTTAATAATATTTTTATAATATCTCATCTAATATTATTAAATTGAATATTTCATATAATAATCTTAAAATATAGACATATGTAATTGTTTTTTATATAATCTAAATTCATATTTCAGATATATTTTTATACTTTTTTCTTTTTTTAGTTACTGGATTCATGACAATGACAAAAAAGTAATATACAGAAGGTAAGTACAAAAAAAGTAAGTGAAATTTATAAACTTATTAATATAAGTAAATATAAGTAAACTATTGAAAAAAAGATTTGTTTCAGAAAATACAGCAAACTAAAAAAGTAAGTATAAGGTAAGTACATCAAATTTTATAACTAGATATAAGTAAACTGTTGCAAAAAAGATATATTACTGAAAAAATGGCAGATTAAAAAGGTAAGTAAAAGGTAAGTATAAGGTAAGTATATTAGATTTTTAAAATCTAAATTTTCGAAAACTTTTGAAAATTTAAAGTCCCGACGTTAAAATTTCGGTATGTTTATAAACATTGGTATGTTTATTTACATTCTCGGTTTGTTTATTTACATTTCCAATGTTTATATTCAAAAATTTTTCGAAATTTTCGAAAATTTAAAGCGCTAGCGTTAAAATTTCGGTTTGTTTATAAACATTGGTTTGTTTATTTACATTTTCAATGTTTATTTACATTCTTGGTTTGTTTATTTACATTTCCAATGTTTATATTCAAAAATTTTTCGAAATTTTCGAAAATTTAAAGCGCTAGCGTTAAAATTTCGATTTGTTTATAAACATTGGTCTGTTTATTTACATTTTCAATGTTTATTTACATTCTCGATTTGTTTATTTACATTTCCAATGTTTATATTCAAAAATTTTTCGAAAAATTTTAAAAATTATTTATAAAATACTTACCGTTACTTACCTTTCATTTACTTACCTTTTTACAGTTACTGTTTTTTATTAAATATTTTTCAACAGTTTCCTTAATTCTAAATACTTACCTTTACTTACCTTTACTTACCTTTTTACAGCTACTGTTTTTTAAGTATTTTTCAACAGTTTTCTTAATTCTAGATATACTTACCTATACTTACCTATTTACAGCTACTTAATGCCGGTTTTTTGCTAGATATTAAAAAACGTTTTAGATAAAAATTAAGTTGGTTTCGAAAAGGAAACATTCTTATAATTTTAATTTTTCCATATGTTGATCCATAGAAGATTTATGAATATTAATGTTGATTTTTTAAATAGAATCATAGATTCTTTAATGCTTCAATAAATGCGTATCATTATTCTCTATAAAAAAAGTATTAAATCCCATATAGCAAATGACTCAGTAGTTTAAAAAATAATTTAATTTGATTAAATATTTTTTAAACTTTTAATGGTCTTATGCTATGAATGCCTTAGTACTTTTTTATAAAGAAAATCGTGTTGCATTTATTAATTCATTGAAAGATATATAATTCTATTTAAAGAAACACCATTAATTTCCATAAGGCTTCAATGCGTCCATTTGTGAAAGAATTAAAAAAAAGAACATTCCTCTTTTCGAACCAAATAACTTTTATCTTATTTTTTAATATCTCATTATGAAACATTAATGAGATATTAAAATAACACCCTATTTCCCTCCTATATTTCCCTCAATCCCTTAGATTTAAGTAAATTTTTAAAAAATGACTAATTCTTGAAGATACGACTGATAGAAAAGATAAAAGAAGGTAAGTACGAAAGGTAAGTATAAAAAAAGGTAAGAATAAATTCTACACTAATATTTGAATAACAACATTTTTTATGAGTTAACTTACAAAAAAACTGAGGGTACCAGAATATAGCCCTTTCCAAACCATTCAACTTCTATTCCAAGCATTTTTTGATATTAAGCATAATAAAGAAGATATTTAAGAAAAAAGATTGACATCGAAA